CAACACTGTGTCAGCACAAATTTTAATTTTTCAATAATCTTTTACATATAAAATTTGCAGGTTGTTTTCACTCACTGAATTAGAAATCGTACTTTATGAATACTAAAGAAGTTCATTATGAATTTAATATATCAAACCATTTCTAATTTTAACATTACTTTTCTTCTAGGATTCACCAAAAGCCCAGCTACGCCGGACAATAGAATGTTGTCGGACAAATTTATGTAACCAGTATTTGCAACCTACACTGCCCCCTGTCGTTATAGGTAGGTTAGCCAAGAAAAGTCTGAGCATGATACTCAGCAAAATATTTTCGCTGCTTTTAACAATAACCAAGCTACCTAGAATTTAACACTACAAATTATTTTCCACGTTTAATAAGATGCGACAAAAAGATACTATGTTTACTTCATTGTTTACTTCCATTGTCAGGTCCATTTGATGGCAGCATTCGATGGCTGGTTTTGCTCATTTCTATGGCTGTCTGCATAATTGCTATGATCATCTTCTCCAGCTGCTTTTGTTACAAGTAAGATATTTATTTTGATCCAAAACATTTTGTTGAATGCTATATACCAACAGTTTTTAAAGCTGATTGTACAAATCATTAACTTACGTATTCTCTGATTATATATCTTCTTCATGTAACTAGATTATAGTTATCTGAAGGAAAAGAGGACCTTACTACCAATTAGTTAATTGGACACAATTTTATACTTCTTGTATGTTCATGAATACTTGTGATTTTCTTATTGGAATTCTTATTTCTTAATGGAATTCTTATGTATGAACTTTTAAACCTGTCCCAAGAAACCAGCTATATTATAGTTTTTTTAGTAATTTTGGGCTTCTGAATTATTTGTATTTAGTCATGATTTCAGAAGACAATTGCCAAAAAATAAATAGTAATAAGAGGAGGCAGCCCCTAGTGTATATGAACTTCAATAATGAAACATTATCATACTGGCAGAATATAGGGAGATGAGTGAAACAGTTTAGTAAACCCATAAATAGACCCAAGTACATAAAGAAATTTAGTGTATGATAAAGGAAACATTTCAGATCACTGAGGAAAAGATGGATTATTCAATAAATGGATTTGGGACTAGGCAGCTATATGGGGGAAAAAATGAAATTGGATCAATTCCCTACAGTGAAATAAATTTTAGTCAGATTGGAACTATATATATGTGATTAAAATACTAGAACTAACCATGGGAGAATTTTGAAAAATAATCTCAGATTTCGAAAGACCTTTCTGAGTCTGACACAATACTTAGAAGCAAACCCCACTGCCCTGCCCACCACCAAATTACACTAAAATAAAAAAAGATTAATAGCATCAACTGCATAAAAGTAAAACTTTACTATGGAGCAGAAACCACCACAAGCTGTCAGAAGTCAGACTACAATTGAAAAATATTGGCACCTCATGTTAAAAAGGGATGATTTCTCAAATATAAAATTTCTATGAATCAAAGAGGAAACAAGTCTAAGCAATTCAATGGGAAAATAGGACAAAAAGATGAACATATGATTTATGCTCTTAAAAGAAAAATAAAAGAATACTCAAGAATATTTATAATATGAAAAGTATAAATTAAAATCACACTGAGGGCCGGGCGTGGTGGCTCACGCCTGTAATCCTAGCACTCTGGGAGGCCGAGGTGGGTGGCTTGCTCAAGGTCAGGAGTTCGAGACCAGCCTGAGCAAGAGCGAGACCCC